AAAAACAAATGACACTTACTTCCTGGGAGAATAGGAGTAGGTAGAGAAAGTTACCAAAGGTAGTACCAGCCCTGACCGGTTTGGCTCAGTGGACAGAGCATCAGCCTGTGGACTGAAGGGTACCAGGTTCGATTCCGGTCAAGGGCATGTACCTTGGTGGCGGGGGACATCCCCAGTAGGGGGTGTGCAGGAGGCAGCTGCTGGATGTTTCTCTCTCATCGATATTTCTAACTATCTTTCTCCCTTCCTTTCTCTGTAAGAAATCAATAAAATATATTTAAAAAATAAAAATAAAAAAATAAAGGTAGTACCTGAATTTGAGCCTCACAATGACCAGGACAGGAAACTCAGAGTCCAAGGGGCTCAGGTTGGAAAGCTGGGGACTTGGCTTCGGGGCAGAGGTTCTACGACCTGAATGACAGCTGGGTACCCATCGCTGCCTGGGACAAGCGGGTTTGCTGCTGCATTTGGATTTGGGCGTGAAATGGATGCCAGCTCCATCTACTCGCTCCTTCCCACGGCCAGTGTGGATAGGAACCTGACTACTGAGGGTGCAGGGTGTGTGTCTGTGGAGTCCGGGCATGTGGGAAAGTGTGGACGTGCAGGGGTGGAGGCTGTGGACGAGGCTGAGGGAGGATACGCTGTAGCTTCACGTTGTTGAAGAGCGGGCTCTCCTGAGCTTCCATCACCGTCATGCTGGCCTGTTTGTGCAGGCGGCAGAAGGACAGGACCAGCGAGCACCACGCGGCCAGCTGCTTCTGCCGAGTGTCCACGTTCGGCTGCAACCTGCCGGGTGAAGGGGGTGGGGTGCAGAATTACGGGGAGTGAGAGGGCGCGAGGCAGCCCTCGCCGGAGGCGCGTTTCGCGGAGAAAATGAGAGGCGGAGAGTGGTGGCGACCGAGTCCTTCCTCCCCCTCCCCAGGTGCAGGGTCGGGGCTCAGCCCGGGGCCAGGGGAGGGCAGGGAGGCACAGCGGGGCTTCGCGGGGGCTGAGCCTCACGTAAAGAAGGGCGGGAAGCGATACTGCCACGGCCACTCGAAACTCATCGCCATCGTAGTAGCCCAGGAAACCCGGAACCTCCCGGCGAGGGACTTCCGGTCTCCGCTTCCGCACGTCCTGGCAGAAAGCGCAGCAGAAAGGTTCCGGACCCTTGTTGGGGGAGACGAGCAGTCCAGGGAGGGCTCTTCCTCTACTGCCAGTCCCTTGCCATTATCCTAAAAATCCTTTCCGTTTAGAGCAGAAGGTCCCTGAGAAGTCTGGCTTAAGCCCAGAGAAGGGCAATGACTTCCTCACAGAAGCATAGTTTGTTCTCAGAACTGCAAGCAGAACCCCAGGTCCCCAGACCCCAGCCTAGGATTGTGTCCACTATGCTGCACTTCTTTCAATAATGACATTTGTGTCAAATGCCATTTACGTTAAACGCCTCACATTTCCCAATCTCTTCGATTCCTATGTCCTTTGACTCTACCTTTCTTCAGTCTCCTGCAGCACCCGTGGGAACACGTTTGTAGCTGGAAACGGCTCTGCTTCCATGGTTCAGAGCAGCCACCCTTGACCACAGCCATCCATCTCTGATCTCTCTCCCGTTCTCACCTTCCTAGTCTCAAGCCCCAGAGCCCTTTTGGTCGCGACTCCTTACCTAGACTTGACTACTCAATTCTGTCCCCTTGTCTACCTACGTGCTGGTCAGTTTCCAAACCAGATTGTTGGTCCCTGCCCACCCACACTCCCTTTTTGTGTCACTCCTTGGCAGGGGAGTATGCCTAGAAAAAAATCACCATAGCATGCTGACTGAGACCCAGATTCCATGACTAACCTCATGGCTGGACTTTCAGTGCAGCCCAGTGGCCCTTTGTATTTTTTTTTTAATTGATTTTAGAGAGAGGGAGGGAGGGAGAGAATAAGAACCTGATTTGAGAGAGAAATATCCATCAGTATACACCCTAACCAGGGATTGAACCTGCAACCTGGGTGTGTGCCCTGACCAGAACCTAACCCACCACCTTTTGGTGTACAGGATGACGTTGTAACCAAATGAGCCGCACTGGTCAGGGTTGTCTTTTTTTTTTTTTTTAAATAAGAGTTTATTTGAACCAAACTGACAACATATGGTGGGGAACAAGCTCTCAAATACTCCCAACCCTTTGTCTTTTAATGACTCCCTGTCACATCGCTCAAGGTAACTCTTCAAAGTTGTCCACTCATCAAGCCATGTCACCTGTCCCCGTTTTCCTCCTCTCTGCAGAATGTCCTTCCCCTCTATTTTATGAGATTGCACCCGTGAATGTGAACTTATTAATCTTTCCCTCTCCATCCGTCAACACACTTGATTTGTCTCTCAAAAAGTCTTCTCTTTTACTCCTTCCTTTTGGACTCAAAGGAAGAAGTGCTGCTCTTCCTTTACAAGGCCAATCCTTTGGCGTATCTTCTTGCCTCTCCTTTCTAACTTCCTCCAGGACTTCTCTATGCATCATCTTCCCTCATCTCCTTTCCCCTGCCTCCTCTCTGCTAGTCTACAAATATGCTGAAGTCATCTCTATTTGAAAATATGTTGTGCCCTAATCTGAAAGAATATATGCACCCTTATGTTCATTACAGTGCTATTTACAATAGCCAGTATCTGAAAACAGCCCAAGTGCCCTCACAGTTTAATTCTTGGTCAGGGCATATGCCCAGGTTTCAGGCTCAATCCCTATTAAGGGGTGTGTGGGAGGCAGCCAGTCAATGATTCTCTCTCCTCATTCATATTTCTCTCTCAATCTCTCTCTCTCTCTCCCTTCCTCTCTAAAATCAATAAAAATATATATTTTTAAAAATATGTAGTGTCCCTGACTTTGCCACTCTCTCAATTTCTTGTCTGATCTCTAACATCTTCCCCACCAAAATCCATTCTTCATTGTGCACAATTCCTAGTTCACAGAAGTACCCAACAAATATTTGTTGAATGAACAAATGAACTTTGCAATTGATACTGTTGTTTCAAAGGGCACCATCTCCTTTGCTTCCAGGGCACTGCTTTATCCTTGGTCTGCTACTGTCTCTCTGATCTTTCCCTTTGTCTCCCCCCCCCCCTCATTCTTTAATTATGGGTGTTTCCTAAGAACCCAACTTCAGTCTTCTTTTCACTACACCTTCTCTTAAAACTTTCATCCCTCTCATGGATTTATATGACATTTCTGTGCAGAATACTCTTAAACCTGTGTTTCCAGCTCCACCCTCTTTCTACCACCACCATCACCACTCCCATTTCTAACTCACTGTGGGATATTACAGCTTGTTCCATAGTTACCTCATATTGCATATCCTTTTCCTCAGGCTACCTCCTGTTAATGGCCCTTTTCTGTTCTTACTTCCATCATTGTCCAAATAACTCAGGTTCAAAGCCTGAGTCAGCTCTAGTCTCTCTGTCTGTCACCTACTTCATATCCAAATCCTGTTGATTCCCTCCCCTGTTTTTAATCATCTCTCCTACTTTTTAATTATTTTTCATTTCCCCATTCATCACACTTTTGGTCCATGTCCTATTTTTCTCAAGCCTGTATTATTACAATAGTTTCCTAATTCATCTCCCTTTCTACGCGCTCCTCTAGGGGAATGCACTCCACCTACCGTCAATTCATGTAACAACTCTACAATCACCCTCCTGTGATCTTAACTCCTGTGATCACAGCTCTGTTAGATGTGACCCTTCCTTCCTTTGCACTCGTACAAACATTTGGCTTGTATTCTTTGCATGACTTTCATCACACACTCCATTGTTTTTGTTTATTTGCACATGTCCACTCCCTTACTAGATAAAAGCCATTGAGGGCAGAAACCAAGTCTTAGCTAACTTCCTTTTTTAAAACAATGTACCATACAGTGTCTTACACCAACATGCCTCTGATGTATGTTAGCAAAATGCATGAAGGCAAATATGGGCCAAGAAAAGCATAGATATATCCTTGGAGGAGACATATACATTCATGAAAACAGCAAAGATTTATCTCAGGTGAAAACTCAAAATGTGCAAGGGAACAGGTGTGTCTCTAGAGAGACAAATACGTCCTGAGAGGAGAAGTGTGTCTCAGAGAATGAATAGATACATTCCAGAAAGCAAACACGTATGTATCTATGGAATAGACAGGCATGTCTAGGAAACGGATATGTATATTCTCAGGGAGGCAGATATTTCAACAAGGAGTGAAGGAAGTTCCTGAAGAGGCTTTAGGTACCACACGGAATAAACAGGTGTCTTTATGGAAAGCAAAGTTGTTCTCTAGGTATTTTTGATGACCTTTGTTCCAAGGAAAATTGGAGGTGAAGGTTCTCTGGTGAGAACTGAGCCTCACTGTCCAGGGGACCTACAAGAGTGTCCATATGCCAAAATGTTGAGTCAGAGACTAAATATCTCCCCAGAAAGTGGTGTGGATAAAAAAGGGATGCTGTAATAAATCATAAATTCCTAACTGGGCAGGTCATGGTGGGTAGTCACACCCTAGGCATATAAATTTCTTGCCTTAAGCAAGCCAGGTCCATTGTTTTTGTGCATCCAGGTTAGCACACCTTTGAAAATGCCTCCTTCCAAACCCCTCCTTCTAAGATGTAACCACTCTCACCTTGCTGTTTCCCACCTTCACATAATCTTCCTTAAACCCCCTCCTTAGTTTCAAATGCATGAAAGAAACTGCAAAACTGTTATTCTTCAGAGCATTTGAGAGCTTGCTGCTCGTATATGCCGTCAGTTTTGGCTCAAATAAACTTGATCAAACTTTATTTTTATGTATTTTTTAGATATATTTATTTTATCTTTTTTTTCAAATACATTTTTATTGATTTCAGAGAGGAGGGGAGAGGGAGAGAGAGATGGAAACATCAATGATGAGAGAGAATCATCCTCCCGCACGCCCCCACCAAGGATCGAGCCTGCAACTCGGGCATGTGCCCTTGACTGGAATCGAACCCGGGGCCCTTCAATTCACAGACCGACACTCTACCCACTGAGCCAAACCATCCAGGGCTAAACTTTATTTTTATTGTTCACACTATTACAGATGTCCCCCATTTCTCCCCTCTTGCCCACCTCCAACCAGCCCCACCACCTCTCAAAGAAAGTCTTTTAAAAATTCTCCACAGGTTTGGACATTTCTTATGTCGACAGTAGGAAAGTGTCTTCAGGGAGCCCAAGTCTGACTCAGGAAGCCGGTAGAACTACTGTTTGCTATGGAGATGACAGGTCTCTGACCTCAGGGTCCAATCTCCTGTTTTGAGCTTCATCCACCACACATCCATCTTCTGCTTTTTGGGTTAGTGGACACCAGGGGGCAGTGTGCAGCCAGGCTGTAGGCCACACCCCCGGGGTCCAGGACAATGTAGGATGAGGGCCAGGGACCTGGAGGGGGAGTCCTGTGGTGAACCTAGCAGAGGGATCCCCCATTGCCTTTACCCTCAATCCTGACTGAGGTCCTTAGGGGTGGAATCCAGTTAGTCTGATCAGAGTTCCTGTTCGAAGTCTCTAGAAGTGAACTGAAACATGAAAGGGGAAAATTCGGAACTCCTGGGTGGCCCCCCCTTCCTTCTGGTAGGAGTCACAGTCCAGAGTCCTCCCTCGCCCCTCCCCCCACACCTCCCCAGCGGCTGTCCAGACCGGAAGGGAGTCTTTTCCTGCAGGCTTCCTGGAGCTGGGTTTGGATAGGGGCAGGAAAGGCCCCACCTTGGGAGGGAGGAATGTAGGAGTGCAGCCTTCAGGTGGGGGTGGGGGGTGGGGGTGCCGGCGGAGGCCTGTGGGGGCCGGTAAGTAAACAAAACAGTGGGGCTATCAGATTCTTGCGGCTCTGTGGCCCAGAGCTGGGGGTCTGTGGACATGACAGGTTCTGGGAGGGACACAGGCCCCACTGGGATAGGGAGGAGGACGGTGTACAAAAGAAACCTTTTATTTTGAAAATTGCAGAACTGGTGCCATGACCCTCCCCAGCTCCATTCCCCCAATCTCAGGCTCTGTGTGCAGTGAGGCGAGAGAAGGGGTCAGGGAGACGGGGAGGGAGACCGGGGGGGGGGGGGGGGGGGGGGGGGGGGGGGTGGCAGGGAAGGGAGGGCCGGCTGCTGAGAAACGTATGCCACCCTAGGCCCGGGCTTCGCTGTCTTTACTCTTCCACACCACAAGGGTGACCAGGAACGGGATGAGGCAGATGGGGGCTATGATCATGGCCAGGAGTACATCCTCTGGGGGGTCTGAGAAGGTGGTCTCCGCCAGGGTGCAGTTGGCAAAGTGGGTCTGGTGAGTCTTAAAGATGATCTGTTCCGCCGAGGGATTGGGGAAGCCCAGGTCAAAGTGTTCGGCTTCTCTTTCCAAGCATTCCTGCAGGTCGCTGTAAGGCCTGGGGCAGGAGAGGACGAGCGTGAGGGCCCACCCACAAGGAGCAGGGCGCCCACCCCTGGCCCAAACCACCCTCCAGCACGGCCCCTACCTGCTAATCATGGCCCAGTCGCACCAGTCTTCTTTGATATTGTCCATATCAACCTGGTAGTCTCCCCAGCAACGTGAAATGCTCTCATCATACGTCTCCATTTTCCCTGTGGGCACTAAGGCTGCACCGTGACCACACCCCACCCTTCCCTCCCAGCCCTCTGGTCCAGGTCCTTCCATTCAGGAGCCCCTGTCCCTGTCTTTAAACGTAGGCACCGCCCGGACAGCCTCAGCACGTTTCCCCAACAAGACCCTTCTGGCTGAGGGACAATGTTAGTGCCCTCCACGCGCACAGCCCTTCCCAGAGTGGCAGGAGTTTCCGCATCCCCCTTCTTCTGGGGTCTTCTCACCCCCTGTGAGGTGGCCAGCTTGGGGGCCTGCCTTATGGGAAAGGAACCCTCTCCACGGGGACTTGCCTCTCCTCCTGCCCCAGCACACCTTCCACAGCTGCTGACCACTCACCTCCGGACTCCAGGCTGCCTGCGGTGGTCGGAAGCTGAGCCACGGACCCCTGGGGCTTCAGGGTGGCTGTGGGCAGACATGGGAGAGGAGGTGGAATCGTTGGGTCTGGGCAGTGGGTGTGAGTCGGAGGCTAAGGCCCTGGGAAGTCAGAGCCAATCCCCGAGGAGAAGGAGGCGTGATGCACCCTCGGGGTGCCTCCGTGGCCAGAGGAGAGGGGCTGGGACCAGCTCCTTCCCGCGGGCATTCGGACCCCGAACACCTTCCCTTCTCGCCACCCCAGACCTTCCACCATCTCTCCGCCGGGCCCCCGCCCCGGCTTCCCCCAAGTGGGAAGCAGCTTGCACGGCGCCCTGACCGAGGTGGGGCTACGGACAGACCGAAGGACAGCGCTGTCCGCACCCACAGCCTCGGGCCCGCGCTGGCCTCGGCCGTCCAGCCCCCCGCCCCTCCCTCGCGGGCCTCCCGCGCGCGTCCACCCCCGGCCCGGCGCTGCGCTCACCGCCCAGCAGGAGGAGGAGGCTGAAGGCGGTGGGTCGCCCCGCGCGGGTCGCCGGGGTCCGCGGGCCGCCGGCGGGACGCTCGGCCCGGAGCGAGGCCATCGCGCGGCGAGCGGGCGAGGAGGGGCGGCGGCGCTGCGCCGGGCCCGGGCGGGGGCGCCTATATCCCCGGCCCCCGTCGCAGGAAGCCGCGCCGCTTCCTCGCAGGGGCAGGGACAGCCGCGGCCACGTGGGGGGCGGGGGCGACGCCAGGGCCGGCGGGCTGGAGGGGGAGTCGCAGCCTCACCCGGCCCTGGCGCCTGCCGCTCCCCCGCCTCGCCGGCGGTGGCCCACCCTTTCTTCCAGCGCACCCCGCGGGGCTGGACAGCTCCCCTCGTAACCCAGAACCCGGAGCCAGTTCCTGCTCTCGGCCGCGGGGCGCCCAGCACTTGCCAGGGTCTCCCAGCACCCGCTCCGGGGCTCCGGTGGTCCCCTCTCTTTCGCGGGGAGGTGGGCAGGGGCAGAGGCGGGGTGGGGAGCGAGCTGCCCTCCGGGGCTTGGAGACGAGGGAGGGGTCTGGGAACTCAGCTCCGGCCGGCGGGGAAGGGCTGTCCTGGGCGGCGGGGAAGGCGCGCCTGGAGCTGGACTCTGTTCCCAGTTTCCCTTGGAATCCCCGTGGATGTCAGCCCGCCTGCCAAAGCCGGGGAGGAGAAAGCCGGCCCTCCCGAGTGGGTAGAAGGCCTGGGAATAGAGATAGAGGGGAAACCAAAGTCTCAATACCCGCCCTTCCGGGAACCCCCTGGGGCCCAGACCCACAAACAGGATTGGGGAGAGGGGGCAAGAGTGAGATGACTGTATTGCCAGGCAGAAGGTGGCCACAGCTCCAGGACCAAGGTTGTGAGAAGGGTGGGGTTCAGAACCTACAACGTGTGGCTTCATTCGTGAGATGGGTACATGGAGGGGAGCGAGCCCAGAACTTGGCGTTCAGAAGCCCTGAGTCCCATTCTATCGCTCCACTCCCCTGGAAAGATTTCAGTTACCTTCACACATTCCTAGCGTCCCCCCACATCCCGCCCCCACCCCCCCGTCCGCCCCTCCCCCGCCCCTGAAATGACCCTCTCCACTACCCTGTAGGGAGGATGACATCTGTGAAAGGGCATTGCATGCACTCAAGTAGGCACTGGTTTCCTTTCCCAAAGACTTGCCTAAGGTCACACTGCGGGCGGGAGCTTGGTGATCTGGGCCCCGGGGGCCCTGCTTTCTGCCTCACCACAGCTGTCTCTGTGTCCTGGGCGGAGCTTCGCTGGCCTGAAGCAGTGGAGGAGCCCAGGAGCTGACTCGGCTGTGATGGTCCACTCCAGACACAGCTGCCAGCACTGAGCTTTCCTAAATTACTCCCAGACGCTGACCCTTGGACTCAGCTGCTGCTATTGTCCCAATTTACTCATCCCTGCCTCACACAGATTATCTTTCATGATCTGTCTTCAGAATCTTCATCTCAGGGTCATAGGCTCTGGGATCCTGGCCACTGATAACCCGTGGCCCTCCTCCAGGGCTGGGGTCAAGAGGTTGCTTTAGAAAGACATTCAGCAGGAGAGGGGAGGTGGCCTACTGGGCATAAACCCCGAAGCCCTCCTGCGGAGGGTCATCCTCTGCAAGGTGCAGAAAAAAGCCAGGCACCTCAGAGCCGCTTCAGGCCAGGGACAAAATCCATTCCTTCCCTCCCACCTGGGATTGCCCTTAAAAAAAATTATATATATATATATATATATATTCAAGAGGGAAATTCTGAGTGATATGATGGAATTAGGGAGGAAGGAGGGGCGAAAGCAAAACCAGCCATTTCCAGTGGGCTGGGGTCAGAAGCACGTGAGCCCACTGTGGTTAGAACCGGAGTTGGGGTCAAGATTAAACTTGTCAAAAGTAAATGTTGGGTTTTAAATAGGGCAGCATGGTCTAATGGATAAAAACAAACTAACATTGGTTAGGATTCTGAAGGCCTCTGTCTTGCTGTATAACCTTGGGAAGGCCATGTCTTTGGAGCTCAACATTTTCAAATACAAAATGACCCTAGAATCAAAAGGGAATACACAGGTGACTTGGCAGAAAGTGTGGTTTTTCGCCTGGAGTTGGGGTTAAGCTTGCGTCAGGATTGAAGACCTCCAAAGGAGAACTTGTAGCAGTGGTTCCCAAAGGTGAAGTCCAAACCCTTCCGTTGCAGAGTCTGGGAATTCTTTTCTCCTCCTGATTTTCCTCTTCCCACTTTTTCTTACCAGTTAGATGTTTGGATGTTTTCATTGACCCCTGGGAGCATCCTGGTAACTTGGGGTCAGCTATGAGGGTCCTTTGGGGCTGAACGGAGACTGGAGACCTCGCCTTCATCTTCCAAGTTGCCGTAGGAGATAGTCCCATGTTCTGTGGCCAAGGGACAGAGAAGAGCTTCATCAGGGACAGGTTCTTTCATGGAAAGTCCCATTTTCCATCCCTAGAATCCCTTACCTTTCTTTTCTAAGCCCATTTCTGCTTTAAAATGTATCATTTTTGCTATAAAAATATACCTTTAATTGCAAGTAATACATAAGTGTATACTTGTTGCAAAATATATATTTGTTCTTTCAAATCATTTAAATAACCTGGCAGTGAGTCAAAATATGAAAAGAAGATTCAAGCTTGCTCCCTTTAAGGGGGGTACTGCCATGATTGCCTCGCACAAGCATTACCAAAGGCAATGATGACACCAGATTCCAAAGAGCATGGTGGTTAAGAAGGCTTCAAGGCTCACAGACTGAAGAGCTTGGTTTTGGGATGTTTCAGAGGGGTAGCAGGAGACAGGAGAGACCTCAAATTCAAGGGACCCTGAAAGGATAGGACTGGGTTTCTGGGTCATCAGCACCTTGAAATGTTTCTTGACATGATTCAGTGTGGAGAGTATTTGTCGCCTGGGGAGAAGCGAGCAGGATGGGCTGAGCAGATAGTATGTTGTCCCATAAGGTCAAACTTCTTTAGGACATAGACTCAGTCTCCCTGTTGTTCAGGTAATACTAGAAAAACAAGACCACACTGAAGCCAGAGTTTCCTATTCTGTCTGCAGCTCAGTCTCTCTTACAAAATATTTCAATACAGAAAACTTTATAACCCCATTCCTTTCTCACTCACCTTAAGTATATTTTGCACTTAAAAAAAAAAAAAAGCAGCCCTAGCCAGCTTGGCCCAGTGGATAGGGCGTCAGCCTTTGGACTGAAGGGTCCCAGGTTCAGTTCAGGCCAAGGGCACATGCCTGGGTTGCGGGCTTGATCCCCAGTGTGGGGCATGCATGAGGCAGCCAATCAATGATTCTCTCTCATCATTGATGTTTCTATCTCTCTCTCTCCTTCTCCCTTCCTCTCTGAAATCAATAAAGAAATACATTTTTTTAAAAAAAAACAAAAATAGGATTTAATATCCATGTTGTTCAGTAATTTTTTTTCTTTTTCTTTTTCTGTTAATCCTCATCCAAGGATATTTTTCCCCATTGATTTTCAGAGAGAGTGGAAGGGTGGCGGGAAGACACACAGAGAGAAACCTCAATGTAAGAGAGACACAATGGTTGATTGCCTCCTACATGCACCCGACCAGGGATCGAGCCTGCAACCGAAGTAGATGTTCTTGACCAGGAATCGAACCCAAAACCCTTCGGTCTGAGGGCCGCTCTAACCACTGAGTAAAACTGGCCAGGGCTTCTTCTTCGTTTTTTTTTTTTTTTTTTTTACTTAATAACATGTCTTGGATATCTTCCCATGATGCCATATGTATATGTGCCACTTTTCTTTTAACTGTTGCAAAGTATTGTTTTTAGACTTTTTTTTTTTCTTCTTATATCCAGTGGAGTCTGGTCTTTCAGTTCCCAATACACTCCCTTCTTCCTCTGTCCCTACCCCACACACATCCCTAGTGGTTGGGAAGAGAGGAATGAGGTTCTCCTCCAAGTGAACTTTGACCTGCGATTTCTGACCTGGGAGAGGATCCTTCTGTCATATGTATTATGGAGTGGGGCAGAGATGACTCAGTCCTTAGAAGCAGTGCCATTTCTAATCCTCAGCCTTCCCCCTCACACACACACACACACACACACACACACACACACACACACACCCAGAACAACATAAGGGGAAGTAAAAAGCACCGGGGCCTCCTGCACAATGAAATTATGCAGAGCATCTTGGAATTAGTGTCTCTATGGTACAGACATTCACACATGCGGGCCTCTCCTCCAGCTGTCTGCAAAAGAGAAAGAAAAGAACAGAAAGTGTGGGGGAGAGTCAGGACCCAGGAAGCCAGAAGTCTTGGCTGGGTGGTGCTGATCTTTCCAAGCTGGAGAGCGGAGACAAACATCTTTGAGGGCAGGGAGGCAGCAAGAAGAACCAGGAGGGCTACAGCCAGGGAGCCAGCTAGCTACAGAGGGGAAAACAAAGGAATAGGGACACAATTACTCCATCTCTCCCCCAGCCTCCTCATCTCCAGAATGATGGCACACTTGGTATGAGAAGCATAACCACCTCTCAGAGGGAAAAATGGTTATCAGAGAAAATTGTGGTTCTCAGGTTTGTAAAAAGCGTAGACAATGGTCAAGTTATATTCCATATCAACTGCCGAGGACTTAATAGTAGCTGCCATTTATCGAACCCAGAACCGCTTGATGCTAAGTTTCATGTCTTAACCAGGATTTTATTACTTCCCCCTCATTCAAAATCAGAGTATCGATTCCGTATTGGGTCTTGACAGGAACAGAGGAGGATAGAGTTTCTTCTGAGATCAGATTAAGCCCTCCAGAAATTAGATCCTGCACACAACATATTCCCCCTCCTTCCCTGACCCAGGCTGGACCATGACATCACATCGTGGAGGCTGTTTTTCCGAAAAGAACCCAGGCCAGATTTACAAGAACAACATTCAGTGTGACTGAAGAGGACCATGGCCAAGTGACCATAGCACACGCCCAGCAGTGCTGAGAACACTGCTAATCCCTCAGCACTGAGGCTGACGCATGGTTGCTGTCAGGACCAAATGTCAGATGCAGGATTGCTGTTCCCCTTCCTCATTCCCGGACTATGTATCGCTCTCTCCACTGAGCCAAACCGGTTAGGGTGATGGTCCTGTGAAACCATCCCCAGGTACGTTCTATGCCCTCCCAGCACTCCAGGAGGCTTGATGCTGTATAACATGGGAATGCCAGGCAGTATGCTCCA